CGAAGTTAAGGAACGCAGATTGAGATGGTGAAATCTGTTAATGCTTGTAACCCCCGTGGCAGCGGCATCTCCGCACGTGATTATCTGCGGCGGAACGAGAGATTAACAAATATAATTTTCTCTCCCTCTCTCTTTCACTCAACGCAAATCTAATTGCTATCTTTTCGATAAAGCGCCTTTCGCTTCGACGATTAACTAATAGGCGAAACACTGGGGAAAGAACTAATTAAAAGCGTGTACATATTTGATAAATTTCGGAATTTCTCGCAAAATTGCTCGACGTAACGCGAGAGCCAATTAACACTAGTTCAGAAGCCGCGAACGGCCTTCTTATAACACTGGTCACAAATACCGGCGCGAGTCAGGCGAGACGCTACATCTCGGAATCCCATCTTAATAACGAAATCGCGCCGTAGCTTCTCAGCCGGGTCGTCTCGGCGCGGCGGGAAAGGAAAAATTTGGGCCAGGGAAGCGCGCTTGAGGGTAAGGGGGGGCTTTGTCTTTATTATTTGCTTTCATTATATTGTCTTATAAGACACAATATAATTATTTTATTTTATAATACAGACATAAATCAATAAATTTTCAGAAAATTAACCGTTAGCAGCAACTTTGGTAAATATAGCGAATAGGGGACCCAAACTTACAAAGTACATGCTACATTGTAAAGCAAAGTCCACCTTGCTGGAAGGGGGGGGGGGGGGGGGGGGGGGGGGGAGGGAAGAAGAGAATCGTCGCATACCAGGCGGCGAGTCCCACGGGAGAAGGAGGAGACCCGGGGAAGAAGAGAGAGAAGGAGCCGGCGACGACGCCACTAAATATTGTGTTCGCGCAGAGAATACAGCTCTCGGGACACGTGTAAGCGGGGCCGCGGGATTCCGTATGAGCAGATCGGCCCGCCGATTATACGCTAATTCAACGCAAATTCCTTCCCGGAGATATCTGTATCGCTCGCATACATCAGAGAGAACGGTGGCTCGCGGTAGCTGCGCTGCCGCCGTTGCTGGATCCCGCTCTCGTTGTCGCCGCCGTTGCTGCTCTCAGG